CCATGCTAACAGATGCCTTCCTGCTTCGCTGGTTCTTGCCAGCTTCAGGGGGTAGCTCTAGAAGCCCCAAAGCCTTTGTGAGTGCCCTTCCTTGTGCCAGTGGTGCTCCCAAGTGGGTACACTATGGTAGAAGCCCCACACCCTCTGCCCCCAGCCCAGCAGCCACTCACACCTCCACTCAGTGTGGCCTTTGCCCCCACGGACTCTGAAAGGGGATGGTACTCAGCCTGAGGGGAGCAGCCAGGCCTAGCTTCCTATCTGCCACCCTCCTGCCCTCCTAGAGATAGCAGCAGTCGGCTCCTTGGCACTGCAGGCCCCTGAAGCCCTCCCCCTGCCTGCCTGGCAGAGCCCCCACCAGGAGCACTCTTGGACATGTGGGCTGTTTCTGGCACCCTCTCTGACCTCAGAGAAGGAACCAGAATGAGTGGAGCATCTCATACCAGCAAGCTGGGCTTGGGGGCAGTTGCTCTCCCTCTGGTCACTCTAGGGTCCCCTGTGGCCATAGCCAGGGAGACACCGTCTCCCTGGGCCTTGGCCTGGGGCAGTGTGCTGCTGTGAGGAGACCTGGGCTCTGACGTCAGACCTGGCTCAGGTCATTTCCCCTCTTGGGGTTTTGGAAGCCCCTGCATCTTGAGGGGGCCAAACCAGATGACCTCTGAGGGCCTTCAGGGGCACCGACTCTGAGGGTTGGAGCAGGACTGTGGTTACCTGGGAGCCAACTATCACCCTGGGGAAGGAGCATGTCCCCCATTGACATTGACCTGTCATCTGAGCTCCCCTATCAGGAGGGTCAGATCTTGAGGGAATAAGTGGCCCTGTGCCCCCTGACGGGCCACACACTCAGGTGGTGGAGAGGCCTCAGGAGGGGCTGCCTTCCTGGTAGAAGGCAGGGGGACATTTCTGGGGCATTTAGGGCACCCACACTGAGACTCCCTGTGTCTGCCTGGCTGTAGTGTCCAGCTGGGTACTGACACCAGCCTCAGGGCCAGGGGTGGAGGGAAGAGGCCTTGTACTGTCAAAGCTGCCCCCCTCCCCCACACCATACTGCTCCTGCACATGGGAATGCTGACTCCCAGCTGGAAGACCAGGAGCTCTGTTGGCACGGTGATAACACTTTTGGCTGCTAAGCTCAAAGTCAGCAGTTCGAAACCACCAACCGGCTGAGGCAGAAAGATCACCGAGGGGAGTTCTCCTGTGAGTTTGGAGTTAACTAACTGAGAGCCCATCAGAAGACACAGTAATTATCTTGGCTCTCCAGTGCTGCTACAGCAGAAGGACCATAAATGGTGGTCTTAAGTAACGATTGTGTTTTCTCACCGTTTAGGATGGGGGACAGAGTCTCCCCATCTTCGTCTCTAAATCCCGGTGCTGGCTCCAGGCCCTTGTCCTTCTGAGCGTCTGTCCCCCTCCTGTGACTTGGTCTCTTTCCCCTTCCCTGCTTCTCTTGCTTGTTTCATCTTTTACATCTCAAAAGAGATGGACTTAAAATCCGCAACAGGACTCCTGTTTAATTAACATCACAGAAACCCCATTTCATAACAAAGCCCGGTTTCCAAATGGGATTATAATCACCGACCTGCTCAGTGCCTTTGGTTCCATTTCTTGGCCATGAAACCCCGCCCGGTCCTCACCATCATTGCTGTTTGAGCCCAGGGTTGCAGGCCTGGTGTCAGTCCGTCTTGTTGACTCTTCCTCGTTTTCCCTGACCCTCTACGTAAGATGAGGCTTTCTACTCCTGAAAAGAGTTGTGGTCTCAGAAAGCCCCAGGGGCAGTTCTACCTTGTCCTGTCGGGTCTCTGTGAGTCAGCAGGGAGTGGAGGACGGGGAGTTTGCAGTTTGGATTTCTACTGCACGACAACGAGCCGCTCCTCTCCAGGACCTGGTCCCTCCTGATGGCATGACCAAAATGCATAAGACAGTCTCCCCATCTTTGCCTCTAAGAGGCACTCAGGCTGCACTTCTTTCAAGAGAGGTTTGTTTGTCCTTCCGGCGGGCCACCAGTGAGGTGCGTCACTTCCTCCTGATCCACTGCCCGGCTTCCATGTGCACACGAGGCGGTTGACAATACCAGGGCTTGGCTCGGGGGCGCCTTAGTCCTCACCGGGACGGCTTGGCTCCTTTGCGTTTTGAAGAGATCCTTGACAGCAGACTTCTTCCTTAGCCTCAACAACACATGGCAGGGGATGCAAGTTAATCCATCTCAGGAATTACAGGCCACTGCTCAGCACCCACAGCCAGAGGGTGCGGCCAAGGAGCCCAGGGACCCTTCGGTCTGAGGGTGGGCCTCCTACTGAGATCCCCCCCTTTCTCTTTTTCCCCCTGCTCTGCCTCCGGTACCTGCTGCTGCCGCTCCCAGGAGGTGGAGGTGAGTACAGCAGCCCCGCTCTTCCCTCCGTACCCTCGCCTTCCTGTCCTTCCTGCCAGCATCCCACAAGGGGCAGAGAGAATGAGGGAGAAGCTGCAAGGGATTCTGGGCCTGGGCTTAGGGCACTAGAAGTTGGAGGCCACAGCCGGCAGGGCCTGGGTGGACAGGGGACGGACACTGCCGATTCCAGTGTGGGACCCGTAGCCCAGCCGGCTCCTCTCCTTGGCCCTGGAGGTGCTCTGAGCCTCATGGCTCCGGGGTGTGAATCCTGATCCCCCTCCTCCCCAACTCTCCTTCTCTAGGATGACTACATCCGGAGCTGGGAGGACAACCAGCAGGGAGATGAAGGTAATGTGTCTGACACCCACCAGGACCCGGGACCCGGGGACAGGTCCCCAAACTGGCCTCAGGGGCTCTGTGAGCAGCCTGGCTGGATGGGGGTGGGACTTTTGAGCCGAGGCTCTGTTTCTCCAGGGCTGTTGGAGGGAGACGCTTCTTTGGCCAGAAATGGAGAGATGTGTGTATATGTGTGTTGGGGGTGGGGGTGGGGTAGGGTGGATTCCTTGGCTGATTCCCAGGTGACCATGTCCCCACCCTGCATTCCTGCAGCCCTGGACACCACCAAGGATCCCTGCCAGAAGGTCAAGTGCAGCCGCCACAAAGTGTGCATCGCCCAGGGCTACCAGCGGGCTATGTGCATCAGCCGGAAGAAGCTGGAGCACAGGTGAGGTGCTGGGGAGCCAGGAGCTCCCGAGAGAGTGGACGGAGAGTAGGGCCTGGCCCGTTCTCTCTCTCCCTGTATTATTTACCTTCAACAGCAATGCCACACTCGAATTGTTTCAAACCATCGTGACTTCTCTCAGGCAGTTTCTGAGGGCGAACTCCAGAGGGGCCCCTGCTGCACGGCTCAGGATCACCATGAGGTTACAGTTCAGATGTCCACTGAGTTTGCAGTCACCTGAAAGCTTGACTGTGGCTGGCGGAGCGTGGTCAAGCCTACTCTTCCGGAGGCCTTAGTTCCTACTCAGAGTCCCCCGCCACAGATCTCCTTGAGCTCCCTCCAATGGCAGCTGGCTTCCCCAAAAGAGTCACCCAGCAGACAGGGCCAGAGGAGCCACCGTGCTTTTCAGGGCCAGAGGAGTCCTGGAAGGGGCATCATGACTTCTACCACTTTCTATGTGTTAGAAGAGAGTCACTCAGGGCCACCCCTATTCGAGGGGTGGGGACCCTAGGCTTTGTCATTTGGAGGGTAGCGTGTCAAAGACTGTTGATGTGCAATCCCAGACCCCATGGACCCCAAGGCAAGGCCCCCTCCTTTCTGGACCTTGACACCCGTGTCTGTAAGATAAACAGGAAGGACCAGGTTATGCCAGGTCCCGTCCAGCCCTAACACGCCACAGCGTCACGACAGATGGAAGGCTGTAGCTTCCGAGGCTGGCTGAGGACCCTGCCCCAGTGTGAGGACAAAATCATGCCTGGCCCCTGCTTTTCCTTCCCTCTTTCCCAAGTCACAGAATCTGAAACCAGGGGTTGCAATCTTGGCTGGTGCCAGGGGCCTGGCAGGAAGTACTAGCGAGTGAAGAGGGTGGGCGGGCACAGAGTCCGCACAGAGGGCAGTGCCAGGGTAGGCAGAGAAAGGCCAGACATCTAGATTTAGATGTGAATGCTCCCGTTTGGTAACTAGTTCGACCTACACAGACGCACACACATGCATATGTGTATATACACATGCACACACACAAACACACGCACACACACGCAGACATGCACACGTGCAACACACGTTGGTGCCCAGACAAACTGGTCAGCAGGTCAGACCAGGCTCTCGGTTTGTGGCGTCCACTGCGGTCTGAAGCACCAAGCCAGACTCTCACAGCTGCACTCGGACATGCTGCCTGAAGGCTCTGTTGGACACGGAGCCTTTCTCTGGAAAGGGGCAGCCGGGGCCCATGGGTTCCACCTGATGAGCTGGGCAGGCCTGGCTGTGCGGGCAGCACTGGATGGCTGGCAGCAGCTTCTTGGAAGGGGTCTCCCAACCCCTCCCTCCTCCTGCCCGGTGCTCATTTCTGCCTCCCTCCCTGTGCCCTCTCCACCCCTCCCCTCCTGTAGGGTCAAGCAGCCTACCCTGAAACTGCATGGAAGCAAAGACATCGTCTGCAAGCCCTGCCACATGGCCCAGCTGGCTTCTGTCTGCGGCTCGGATGGCCACACTTACAGCTCAGTGGTGAGGAGCTCAGGCCTCCGGGGCGGGAGGACAGATAGGGGAACACCCAGCTGGGGCCTCTTCTTGGGGCGTGTCCAGGGCTGATGTGGAGCCCCACAGGCTGGGTCACTGTGGGGGTACCCACAGGGGGAGCACCTGCGGCCCAGGCCTTGCAGCCCCGCACAGGGGGGTAAGGGGGGTGCTGTCTAGAGTTGGAGCCAGAGCCGCCCCTGCCCGCAGCAGGTGCAAGTGGGCTAGCGGTGGGCCCGGAACGCAGCTCCTGGCAAGGGCAGGCAAGTGGAGCGAGGAGGTGTGGAAGAGAGGGGTGTGTGTGTGTGTGTGTGTGTGTGTGTGGTGATGGTAAGGGAAGGGTGGAGAAGCTTCCACTGGCAGATTTTCACTCGGGGGTGGTGTGCCACAGGCATGGGGCGGGGTGGGGGTGGGGCACTAACCTTCTCTGATATGACCCCGTGAGAAGGAGAGGTGGCTGGGATGGATTCCCACTCGACAGGGTTCTGGGAGGACGATATTCAGTGGGATTATTTGTACGAAGCAAAAACCAACCAGCCTGTGCTGTCCCGCTGATTCCAAGTCACGGTGACCCCTTCGGCACAGAGTAGAACTGAGCCTCTCGGGGGGGCTCCAGCCAGTGCCACGTGGAGACCCCTGGGCTGCAGTGAGCGGGAAGCCTCCAGAAGGCAGCAGGTTAACACTTGTGGGCGGACGTGCCCCAGGTGCTGGAAAGCCACGCATAGACACGCAGGCTGTCATGGTGAATGTCCGTGCAGGCCGGGGCTTTTCCTGGGAGGGAACAGCCCACTGGGCCCAGGCTCCAGGCCCTGGAAATCTTGTGCGGTGAGGCGCAGACTCGACCCTCCGGTGAGGACTGGCATTGTGGAGGGGGTGAGGTCACCCAGGGCGAAGGGGTGGAAGGGAGAAAGCGACTACCTTTCAGACCAGGCCAGTGCAGCTGCCACAGAGCCGGCCACGTGTACAAAAGGACTCCAGAGGCGTCTTGAGGCTGTGCGACCTTTTGCAGCCAAGCGCCAGGCCTTTCTTCTGCGGAGCCCGTCGGTGGATCCGAGTCGCCCACCTCTCAGTCAGTAGTCCGGGGCTTAACCGTGGGCATCACTCCGGCGACAGTGCTCTAAAGCCCACTGCCGTTGGGTCCGTTCTGGCTCATCGGCACCTTGCTAGGCTCTCTGAGGCTGGACATCCACAAGGGGATGGACAGTCCTCTGGCCAGTGGAGCGCTAGGAGGGTTTGAACTGCTGACCTTGAGGTTAGCAAGCCCACAGTGCCACCAGGGTAGACAGAGGTGGAGCTGAAAGGGATTAGAAGAAGGGGGTGGTGTCACATGACACAGTGAGGGAGGAGCCTGGGGTCCCAGGATCATGGCTGGGGTCGTGTACGGACATGAAGCCCATCAGTGGACCGGACTCCCAGCCCAGCCCTGGGGCTCAAGCAAGTCACCGCCGTCACCGTTGTATCGTCCGTTTCTTCTTCATGGAGCTGTTGAGGCCAGCTGGGGCCAGCTCCGTGGTCAGTCCACGGGGAGGACCAGGATGCCCCGGGGGGAGGGTTTGGCACGGAGCAGAGGGCCCTCTTGAGCTGGCTGTTCCTGGACCACCGTGGTGAAAGCAACTCCCCGTGAAGGCGGGCACTGGTACACGTCCAGCGGGTGGTCACAGTTTGGCACGAGGAGCGCTAAGAAATCTCCTGGGTGGGGTGATTTCCAAAGGCTACGAAGGGAAGGTTCCAGAAGGGAGAGGACAGCAGCACACTGCACATGTGTGTAAGGGGACATGGTAAGGATAGGCCCCGAAGGCAAGTTGATGGGAGATGAGTGTCCCCTGGGACAGAGCAGGTGCAGCATGGGGCACCTTCTGGGCCTGCTGCCCCTTCCCACTGTGCACTGTGCTCTGCAGAGGACAGAGGGCTATCGCTGGGCATGTCCACGGGCACTGCCCTCCTGTCTCCAATGGGGGAGCAGCTGTGGCTGCCACGTAGGCTTGAGGGTGTCCTGGTGGTGGGGGACACGTGGGTGGACCCCCGCCCCGAGCCCGGCCCCCCTCTCTGTGCAGTGTAAACTGGAGCAGCAGGCGTGCCTGAGCAGCAAGCAGCTGGCGGTGAGATGCGAGGGCCCCTGCCCCTGCCCCACGGAGCAGGCCACCACGGCCACCACTGGCAACCAACCAGGTAGAGAGCTCGGGCCACAGCTGGGCTGGGCAGGGCCTCCTTCAGGGTCCCAGAAATGGCCAGAGGGGTTCTGCAGGGACAAGTGGCCCAAACAGGGAAGGGCCTGGGAGGCTGGGGGCCAGGTGGACGCCGCAGGCTGGCGTGGGTCTCAGCCTCACTTCTCCCTAGGCATCTGGAGGTTGGAGTGTGGGGAGAGCAGAGGGGTGGGGGGAGCATCTGAATTCAGACTTCCCTCCACCCAATATGCTCAGGCCACTGTCCAGCCTCCTAGATGGGGTGGGGAGGGGTGGGGCCTGAGGTCAGGCTCCTCTCTTGCCTTATACTCACCCTCTGCTCCACGCTTCTCCCTGTTGTGTCCCCTGCAGAGACCTGCACAGGCCAGGACCTGGCCGACCTAGGGGATCGGCTGCGGGACTGGTTTCAGCTCCTTCACGAGAACTCCAAGCAGAACGGCAGTGGAGCCAGCCCCACCACCGGTACAGGAGCTGAGGAGGGGGAGCGCTCTGCTGCCAGATCCGGGCCCCTCCAAGGGTCCAGGCCCTGGAAAAGGGAAGGAGACTTCAACGGCCAAAGGAGGGATATGGATTAGCTATTAGGAAGTGCTTCTTGAAATGGGGTCTGAATCACTAAAGCTCACTGCCATGGCCTTGGTGCTGACCCATAGTGACCCTATAGGACAGGGTAGAACTGCCCCTGTGACTGTCACTGTTTATGGGAGTAGAAAGCCCCGTCTTCCCCCCCTCAGAGCAGCCAGTGGTTTCAAACTGCTCACCTTGTGGGTCACAGCCCAGTGGGGTGGAAGCTTAACCCCAAAAATGGCGAGTCAAGGGGTGGAAGGAATATTTTCCCTGAAGGGCTTTCAGCGCAGGGTTCCCTTCAAATCGTTGAGGAGCCCCCCTCTAGGAGTAGAGGGATGGGCCTTGGGCCGTTCTTGAGTTTTAGACTTAGAGCCGCCCCACCTTGGAACAGAGCCCCAGAGCTGATGGAGAGATTCAGAGATGGAGGGACAGCTGGACAGAGCCCTTTACCCCGGTCTCCTCCCCAGGGCTCGACAAGAGTCTTGGGGCCAGCTGCAAGGACTCCATCGGCTGGATGTTCTCCAAGCTGGACACCAGCACCGACCTCTTCCTGGATCAGAGGGAACTGGCCGCCATCAACCTGGACAAGTACGAGGTCTGCATCCGCCCCTTCTTTAACTCCTGCGACACCTACCAGGATGGCCGCGTCTCCACGGCTGAGTGGTGTTTCTGCTTCTGGAGGGAGAGTGAGTGGATCCCCGCCCCGCCTCCCCCAGCCCTTCCGTGCAGGCTCGCCTAGCTCCGGGCCGCAGCCCCAAGGTCGGAGAGGCTCCCCCTTGCCTACCTGCCCAGGCCCAGAGCCTGCTGACTCCAACCCTGCATGTCTCAGCAATTAGAGCCGTGGAGCTCCCTTTCTCTGCCTCCCTCCCTCTGCACTCGTGAAGCGTCTGCCCTTTCAAATGAAGAATTTTACAAACTACAAATGTAGAGTTCCCAAGGCCCCTCCTGGGGAGCCCCACAAGGTGTAAGTGAGGGCCGTGAAGCTGGGGTGACCCGAATTGCTCAGAGATTCCAGCTCGCATTCTTTGCCCCAAAGCAGTGATCATGGCACTACCTTCAGCATCAGAGATAAGCCTCAGACCAGAGCCATCTAAGGGGCAGTGTCTTGGGGGACAGGGAGGGACTGAGGCCTGGAGGGGTCTCCCCAGGGCCTGCCTCACCGACTGCCCCACAGTGTTGGAGGTGGTGTGGCCTGGGTTCTACCAGGGTGTTCCTTTGGGATCTGGGCAAGTTTCGGGATTTTCCCGAGCTCAAGTTCTTCCTCTGAGACTACGAGGGTGACCTGCACCCGCTGTGTGCAGGGCCAGGTGAAGCACCCTAAGAGTTGTTTTCATCAGCCTTACTGCCCAGGACGGCCAACCTTCCGGGGCCTCCCATGGGGAACCAGCGCTGCCAGTGCCGAGCCCTTCCCCCCCGTGCTTTACACCGGCTCCTGGGGCAGGAGACTGGGGCTCCTTCTCATTTCTCAGCCGAGCAGGGGACGTCCCACAGTCGGGGCACAGTTCAAGGTTTTACAGTGGGTTATTTCTAAGCCTAGGAGTTTGTCCCATCCAGCATTCTCCTGGGGCCTCCTGCCCTGGGGGGTGCGGTGTTCCCAGCCCTGCACCCCCAGTGAGGTGGGTGCCATCCCCAGTTGGAGGCTGGCATGCCATCCCTGCAGGGAGTCCCGCTTGGGCTCTGGGGACCTTAGCAGCCTCAGTGCCCCCCAGCACCATCATGAGTGTGCCCTGTAGTGGAGCCTGGGTGTGTCACTTTGAAGAACCCCCTACCTCGGTGTCTAAGCCTAGGGCACTCAGCATCCCCCACCAGCATGCAGAGACACCTGTCTTAGGCTGCTTCTCTCCCTGCAGAGCCCCCCTGCCTGGCGGAGCTGGAGCGCATCCAGATCCAGGAGGCCGCCAAGAAGCAGCCAGGTGAGAGGTCCCAGGTGGGTGGGACACTGTGCCCAGAAGACAGACCAGGGTGTGTGCTCCCTGGCTTTCTCCTTGTGGCGGGGCAGGCTCTCCTAACCAGCCCTCTGAAAAGTGTGTTGTAAGCCCTAATTTGGTGCCCAGCTATGCAGGCTGGAGATTGGAATACAGAAAGGACTTAGACCCATCCATTCAAGTGTTTCCTAGGCCCTGAGTCTGGGCAGATCTTGAGCAAGGGCCCCTTCACTAGCAGATGCTCACGTGGTCAGCAGGCAAGTGGAGGGTCAGCCCTGGGGAGATGCAGCAACAAGCCCAGCTGGGCAGATGATGGCCAAAGACGGGCTCATTGCTGTCCTCACTGAGTGCCTAGGCAGAAGGGGGCGTGGGGGGTAGACATACACCTGCCCAGGTTCAGATGTGTGCACGGAGAAGGCCAGGTGCTGGGGTACAGGTCAGCGGGGTCTCAGTCTTTGGAGTCAGTAGGAGCCTCTCTGAGGAGCTGCCGCTCAAGGGGAGACCCAGACTGAGAGTGAGAGAGCCGCGGGCAGAGTTGAGGCCGGAGCAAGTGTGAAGTTCTTGTGGAACAGTAAAAAGGATCCAAGGCTGATGGGTGGAGAGGTTCAGGAGTCCAGATCACGCAGGGCTTTCTGGGCCCTTGGGAGCAGGCTACCATTTAGCAGAGACAATGAAACGCATCACCAGCCGCTCTGCAGCTCCAAGATGATGGCGAGCCGGCCTGGCGGCCTCGGGGAAGCCCACCCTCCTCCCGCCTGGAAGCCGTTCTCTCTTCCCCATGTCCCAAGCCTGCCCATGGCGCCATCTTTATCCGACACCCTAAGTGTCCCTGTGTCTTAGATGGTACAAAGGCCTGGCTGCTGATGGAAGGTGGGAGGTTTGAGTCCACTTAGAGGTACCGCAAAAGAAAGGCCTGGTGATCTGTTTCTGCAAAAATCAGCCGTTGAAAACCCACAACTCTGCCCTGACACACAGGTGGCCCTGTGTCGGAGTGGACTGAAAGGCAATGGGTGTCATGGGTGTCTCAGGCCCCTGTGACCAGTGGGAGGGACCCTGAGGCAGGTTAGAGGCCGAAGGACCGAGGACGGAGGCCTGGTGTTCCAGGCCAGGAGACGGCCAGTGGTAGAATCAGGGTGCACACAGGCACTCCTAGACGGCATGAACTGGGGCAAAAGAGCACCCGTGGGGGAGTGTCGTAGGGCCCCCTCTGTGGTGCAGTGTCAGGGCGGCCAAGGGCCTGGGGGCCCTGCTCTGACCTTGCTGGGCGTGCCCCTCAGGCGTCTTCATCCCGAGCTGTGATGAGGATGGCTACTACCGGAAGATGCAGTGTGACCAGAGCAGCGGGGACTGCTGGTGCGTGGACCAACTGGGCCTGGAGCTGGCGGGCAGCCGCACGCATGGGAGCCCTGACTGCGGTAAGGGCTGCTGGCCCCGCCTTGGAGGTGGGATTCCCCGGAGAGGGGCGAGCGCGTTCCCAACCTGCCCCTTCCGGTGTCCACATTGCAGACGACATTGTGGGCTTCTCCGGGGACTTTGGGAGCGGTGTCGGCTGGGAGGATGAGGAGGAGAAGGACGCAGAGGAAGCTGGCGAGGAGGCCGAGGAGGAGGAGGGAGAGGCTGCTGAGGCTGACGACGGAGGCTACATCTGGTAGATGGCTGCGGGGAGCCGGGCAGGCCAGGGCGCCAACGGCCAGGGAGACAGGCTGGCAGGGACCTGGGCAGACGCAGGCAGCCTAGCAGGGGACCCAGAAAATACAGCGGGAGGACCTGTCTCTGCCAGGTAGATGTGTGTGTGTGTGTGTGTGTGTGTGTGTGTGTGCATGGCATGTGTGTGGTATGTGTGCCCGGGTGCGTGAGTGCGTGTGTGCGTGCAGTATGCGCTGAGAGCGTGCCCTTGACCCACGCTGCTCCTGACGGAGAGCCATCCCAACGCCGCGTTTGGCCTCCACACAGTTTTCTTTCCATTTGTGGTTGGTTTCAAAATACCCATGTTCCTGCCCACACACTTGCCCCAAGGTCAGAACTGATGAAGAGAGAGGCCCTGGCCACACTGGCTCCTGACGCCCTGGTCTGGTCCTCTCCCTGGTGCCACAGCCCTGCCTCCTTCTGCCCATGCCCGTCCTTCTCGCTTTTCCGCTGGGGTGGGTCAGGGTTGTCCCCTTGGCAGGGAGTTGTTGCAGGGGGTTCTCTGCTGGCTTCCTATCCTGCCAGGTTGGGTCCCTGTGGCTGGGACCTCCTTCTAGCCTCAGCAAGCCCCTCCCACCATCCCAATCCATAGCGACCAGAAGCCACTGGGAGCAGTGCTGAGAAGGGGCTGGGGGTGGGAACTGAGAGGCAGGGGAGGAGAAGGCCCGACCTGGTGGCCAGAGGTCCCTCCAGAGTGAGGAGGAGGAGGAGGGGCTGGCTCAGCAGTGGGCGCAGAGGGACAGAGGTTGGTGGACATTTTCGGAGCGGAGGCTGGCACAGGGCTATGTAGGTGTCCAGCGTCTGGCTCCTATGTGGAGCAGCAGGGGATGCCACTCCCCCCGTTGTCCATTCTAGGGATCTGAGTATCAGGAGCGGCAGGTGAGGGGTCCATGGCCTGGTTAGGGGGCTGTGGGTGCCCCTTCCTTAAATGTACCCCTCCCTCCCAGACCCATGGGCTATGTTGTCCTGGAGGCCCCTTGAAAGGGCAGATGAGAGCCGGTAACCTTCCTGCTCTTCCTCCCCCTCAGGGAGCAGCTGCAGTGGCCCTCGGGGTCTCCCTCTCAGACACCGAGCCCGCCCGCATGACTGCTCTGGGGGTGGAGGCTCCCTGACTCTGTTTGAGGCTGTGCTGTTTTGGGCTGGGCAGTGACAAGTCAGAGGACAGGGCAGGGGCAGCTGGGCTCGGAAACCACACCTCACTGTTCTCCCAAATCTCCTTACCACATGGAGCCAGATACGGCTTCCTTCCCCCCTTTGAAAACCCTGCCTTGCTGGCCCTGCTGAGGCAGATCCCTGAACAATTGTGGTGACAATTGCTTACCTAGATTTAAGCCCCTGATACCTTCTGGGTATAGTGAGCACTGTGTGTGTGTGTGTGTGTGTGTAGAGCCACCGGTATAGTGAGCAGTGTGTGTGTGTGTGTGTAGAGCACCGGGTATAGTGAGCAGTGTGTGTGTGTGTATGTGTGTGTGTGTAGAGCACCGGGTATAGTGAGCAGTGTGTGTGTAGAGCACCGGGTATAGTGAGCAGTGTGTGTGGGTGTGTATGTGTGTGTGTGTAGAGCACCGGGCACCCTGTAGGCAGTGTGGGTGGAGTAGGGGTGTGGGCCCCTGTGGTGAGGCTTCCTGGCCAGGGATCTCAGCCTGGCTCCCCCCAGTGTCTCCCAGCCTTTGAAGCATCTACCGGACTTTACCTCCCTTGGCTGCCCCTGCGATCCACCCTGAAACCAACCTCCCCAGGTCTCTTTGGGGGAAAGAATGCAGCTCCTGGTAGCCCCATAAAAGGCTTCTCATTCCACAGCGCGGTTCTGACCACCAAGGTGTCTCGCTGACCGTGGCTCTCCACATCCCCCGCCCCCCAGCCCCTGGCTTCCTGTCTGCCCACTGCCCTCCCCAGAGCAGCCCACCCCGCCCCCGCTCCCAGAGCTACTTGAAGCTTCCTGCTCCCGCTAGGACTGGAGTCCGTCTGTCTGTCTCTTCCCTCCGCCCCAACTCCGACTTCACCGCTGCCCGCCTTGGGCAGGTGCGGAGGATCGGGCCCCGCGTGGGGAGGGGCGCTCTCGCCGCCCCGCCCACTAGGTGCCTGTGCCCGTGCTGTCTTGGTC